TCATTGTCGTAGACAAGGGGGTTCTTGTAGCATCCTTTCCACTTCTGCTTCTTGTTCATCTTCACAGGATGCTGTGGTGATCTTGTCACCTTTCCTTGTGGTGATTGTCACTGCTTGTATTCTCATCTTTGCTTTTGGTTGTTCTTCATCTTGTCCTCTGTTTGCTGCTGCTGAGGACTGTGCTGTCCTTGATTGTTTGGATTGTGCTTCACCGGTAGGCTCCTCATGTTGTCGCTTGCTTGCTGGTGGTAATGGCAGTGGTGGTCTTGCCATTGTTGTTGGTGAAGTTGCCAATGGTGATGTTGCCATTGTCGTATCCATTGGCTGATGATGCATTGCTTGTGTTGGTAGTGCCAGTGGTGTCTCTTGTGCTGTCTGTGTGCTTGTATCTTCCACTGTAATGTCAGCTTGTGTGCCAATCGCTTGTCTGCTTGTGGTGTTGTCAGCTGGCAGTAGCAATTGTGGCGGAATTGCTATTGGTGTTGTTGGCAAGTTCCATGGGTACACGTTGATGGTATCCAATAGTTGCTTGTCGTACTTGTCTGGCATGATCTGTCTTCGAATTGTTCTTGCTTTGATTACTTTGCCAGGGATGCCGACTATTGATTCTCCAGTCATTGTATCCCTGCCAAGCCAGATTCCTTTGAAGAATCTTGGCTCCATCTTGGGTTGTGCTTTTGTTGTTGGTATCATGTATTGTACTGTTTCTGCCATCTCGCATAGTGGTGCTTTGTGGTCCTTCTGCCATCGTCTTTGGTAACTTGTTTGTCCATCATTGTGCATGGCATACCTGTTCAGTAGCCAGGCTGCGTGCCGGACGATCCACGGCATGACCGGATGTTGTACGCTCAATGTGAGGTTGTAACTTGTGGTCACTTGTTGTACCAGTGCTCGGACTTGTCCCATCAAGGTGCGATGGAATCGTTCAATGCTTCCTTGTGATTGTGACGAGTATGCTGGTGATTGTCGGATGTTGACGTTGTTTCCGAGCTTTTGTGCGACGGTCTTCAGCAGGTTCTGTATGTATTCTTCTTGGTCTGATTGGAGTGTTGTGGTGGATAGTGTTGCTTGTGCTCGTCCACATTCAAACATGAATGTTTGTAGACATCGTGTCAGGTATTGTTGTTGTTGGTTCTTGTCTTGTACAAGAACTGCCATTGCCATACCTGATTCGACATCTATTGTCGTAAGGACTGGTAGTACTTGCTTGTCTCCAAATGCTTTCATGTAGGTGAAGTCCACTTGTATCACTGGTTGTTTGCTTGCTTGTTTTGGGTGATTGTCTGTTCTTCCTTTGCTCTTTACACATATTGGGCACCATGAGCGATATGGTAAGTGTGTCAGCTCATGTTCTAGCCTCTCTTGTCTTGTTGGTTGTTGTGGCGCCTTCATCCCTTTGGCGCGTTGTGCTTGTTTAGATTCATCTTCATTGTCCGTGTCGTACTCGTACTTGTACGTCGCTTCTTCCTCGAAGTTTGTTGATCCTGTCCATTGTCTATCAAGCTGTCTTGCTCCTGATTCCTGCCAGTTGTCATGGATTGTGTATCCTCTTCCTTGTTCCGTCCTGTTCACGGACCATCATCTCTGTTGTGGTACGTACATTGTTGTCCGTGCTTGTGCGTGAACTCGTTTCCAATAATGTCCTTCTCTGATCCAATAGTCTGTTGTTGGTGTCATTGTTGATGGATCAGGTACTGCCGTGGTCATTGGTGTTGGCTTCTTCGTTGTGTGTCTGTATAGTGGCTCTCTGCCTGCCTGTGGTGTTGTCCCGTCTCCGTCCGAGACCCGCAGTGTTGTGGATTGATGTTGTGCCTGTATTGCTTGTGATGCTTTCTCTGTCTTCTCTGTTGTCTTCGCCGTTGTAGGTGCTGGTTGTGCTGGCGGCTTGTTCACTCTGAACCATGTTTCTCCTGTCCATGTCTCCTTGTATCACTCTTCGTTGTTCGTGTTTGTTCAAGTCATGGTATTGTTCAACAATGTCTTCGTTGTTCCCATCGGTTCGCCGGATGATTGTTCGTCTGTAGTTGCTCAATGTCTCCAGTGGTACTGGGCAATTGTTGCAAGGAACAAAGAGAGCTTTCCTCTTGTTCCGGTGATACCGTACAAGGTATCCTTCATTGTTGTAGTTCCAGTAGTCGCTATTGCCTCCAAGGACTTGTTGTGGTCCATGTCTTGTCAGTGTTGCTGGGGCAATCATTGCAATCATGCCCTTTTGTGTATGTCTCAGCTGTAGTTGTTGATGTTGTCCCAGGTTCATGACTGTGGCTGGTAAGTAGTAGAGATTGTGTCGCTGCACCAAGGGAACATTGAATCCCTTGTCATGGCGCATTGTTGGATTGTCGTTGAACCTGATGTCAAAGCCTTGTTTTGCCAGTCTTGTCACTGACAGGATTGGGTCGTGGATGTCACACACATAGAATGGTATGACAATTGGTTGTCCTCTTGATTGCATGTAGACCCATCTTACTCCATAGCATTGTATTGTCTTGTTCGTCACTGTCCTAAGGTTTGGGCTTTGTGCTTGATCGATCTTGTACACTGGATAGTTGTCTGCAAACCATAGTGGACAGACGTGTGTGGCTGCTCCACTGTCGATCATGATGTGCATAGTGTCTGTTGTGCCGCTGCTTGTGGTGTCTGTCTTGTAGTCATTGCCATTGTTGATCATGGCGATGACATGGATTGGTGTCATGTCATTGTCGCCATTGGATGGAATTGGTGGTAGTGCCAATGGCTGTTGTCCTGGTTGTGGTCTCATGTAGTCCTGACAGTACCATCCATTGTCATAGTAGTCATCGTACCATTGTGCTGTCGCATCCTCAATGTCGTTGCTTTCTCCTTGTCCAATGTTGTGTATTGCCACTCTGCAATCTTTGGCAAAATGTCCTGTTCTTCCACATCTGTAGCATGTATCTGTTGCTTGTTTTCCTTTGTTCTTTCCCTTGCCTTTGTTGTATCCTTTGCTGAATCCTTTGTTGCCTCTTCCGAATGGATTGCCAAAGCCAATCGGACTGTTGTTGTAGTTGTTGAATCCTTTTCCTCCACGCTTTCCTTTTCCTTTGTGGCTGATGTTGTAACTGTTGTATCCGTAGCCGTTGTATCCTCCGTGGCCTTTACCTTTGCTCTTTCCTTTTCCTTTACCTTTTCCTTTGTAACTGTTGTACTTACCTTTTCCTTTGTGGATTGCATCAATGTCCATGGGTGCTTGTCCTCCACCAAAGCTTGTTGCTACACTGGATGATTGTGATCGTATTTGTTGCAGTTTGCTGAATGCTGTTGTTGATCTGTAGTACTCGATGATTGTTTGTTTGACTCGTGCATAGTTTGGGCTTTGTCCTGAAAGCAGTTGTAAGTGTTGTTGTAGTGGTCCACTTGTCTCGTTGAGCAATACGGCAATCTTCACTGAGTCTGGGAGTGTTTGTCCATTGTCTCGCTCAAATCGTTGTAGTTCGAATTCCCATGTGGAAAATGATTCTTCGAAGTTGTTCTTGTCAAAGGTTGGCTTCAACAATCTTGTCAAGTGCCCTATGGATCTTGTCCCCAATGGGATGGAGAAGCGGATGCACAATTGTCTGTACATCTCGAAGCCAATTGTGTGTTGGTATTGTCTGCATACTGTAGCTGCTGCTCCAGTTGTTGTGTTGATGAGGATGTACCTCAGGTTTGTGCTGAGGCGAACATGTCGTTCACCATCTTCGATTGTTGTTGCCGCTGCTCGTAATTGTACCTCTGTGAGTTCTGCTGTGCCTCGTTCTGCTGCTTGTAGTAGTTCTGTGTAGTCGTTGTCTTGCAATCCCATGTATGCTGTGAACTTGTATTTCCATTCTTCGAACGTGCCATAGTCTCCATTGAAGAAGGGTGGTTTGAGTTTGTATCTGTTCATGTTTACTATGTTGGCCGTTGTCTCATCTTCTGGAACTGGAGGAAGTCCATCTCCAGCTTGAGCTGCTGCTTGTTGTGCTGCCATTGTTGCAGCTGTGCAAGCTACCTATTGTAGGGTCAAGGCTTGCTCTCCGTTGTGTGTGTTTGTTGGCTTGTGCCTGTTGTTGTATTGGAGCTCACCTGGATTGTTGTTACCAGGATCCTTGCTCCGCTACCATGTAAAATTCAGCAGCTGTTTGTTTGTCGTTTGTTTGTGCACGTCTCTGTATTGTTTCCTCTGGCAATTGTCCTTAGGCTCAAGGCCTCGATCCAAGTGCATTGTATGGCACTGTGCAATTGTACATGAACACTACGATGGAGCAAATGAACTATTGTGAAAGAACTTGTCTCTTGACATCTTTAAGTTTATCTTTCTCTGTCTTTCTCTCTGTAGAGCGCTCTGAGCGCGCCTTTCTGGAGCGTATGTCAGAGCGTGCGCCACAGAGCCCAGCCACAGAGTTGACAGAGTTCAGGGGCGCGGCCA